CCCAACTCCAGGCAGATCCCCGACGACCCAGAGCCCGTCGTTGGCAGCGTTTAGGGACAGTCCCTCTGGCTGGAAGCAGACCAGGCGAGGTAGAAGGGGCCAGGCAGCTCCAGAGGGACACAAGGCAGGAGCGAGTTCAGTACAGGCTGGACAACCTGCTGACCACCTTGGCCCGGAGCTCCACTACACTGCAGGGTGTAGCACGCCTTCCGCGGTTTAACGACGGTGGTTCTAGAATTCCTAACAGATTTATTTCTAAGGAGGGCAACCACCGTGGTAGCCATCAGGTAATTGGAAGCGCTACAGGTTGGTAGAGCTCTAATGGCTAGGAGGAAGGATCTTGCCTTTTAAACTTAGCGTTAAATTTGATTCTGTGAGAAAGGATGGTTGAAAATGAATGTGGGCGCCAAGGTAAGGCAACTATGAGGAAAACTGGGGAGTGCCTGCTCCCTGGGAAACACAGCTGCCTCAGCTCTGCACCTCAGGCATCTGGAGAAGATCTGATTTGGCCAGACCTCTGCTATTGAGGATGGCAGGCTTCAACCGTGTGCGGCTGAGCACGGAATGTGACTAGTCCGAATGGAGATGTGCTGTTAAGTGTAAAACAGATTTGGAAGATTTAGCACGAAAGAAGGAAGATGAACTATTGACAGCTCAGATTTTTATCTTACAAAAAATTTAGATATATCACATTGAATAAAATATATTCAGATTTACCTGTTTCTTTTACTTTTTTAATAGGGCTACTAAAATATTTTTAAAATAATTATTTAATTTTATTCATTTATAATTACTATTGTCACTTTTTCGAGAGGTTTTTGTTGTAGGGCATGTGAGCTCACCAGAAAGACAGAGACAGACAGAAAGCAAAATATCACCCCCCAGGGAGATGACCACGCTGTAATCCCTTCTCCATTTTCCTCTCAGGATCTTGGACACACACACACATGCACCTGGTGTGAGTTTTAAGCCACCAGGTCTGGGACTGGAACTGCAGTCGACTACATGGGAGTCCAGCGACATAGCCATTACGTCAACTGCTGGTCCCACTATTACCACTTTTAAACATGACCAGAGAGAGAGAGAAGGAAAGTAAGAAAGTGGGTTGTCAGATCTGGGACTAGAATGCTGTTGCCCACGGGGGAGTCCCGCTCCCCAACCACCACAGCATCTGCTGGCCCCACACTAGAACATTTTAAATTGGGCTTTTGGCTTGTATTATACATTATCGAACAGCTTTGGTCTAGACTTAGGAACTCAAGGTGAGTTCCACAGCACTGGAAGAGTTACCAGGAGGCCTTGGGGATGGAAGAACCAAACTTCAGGCACAGAATTCACCAAACTCATCAACTAACATTTTTCCGTTGTCTTACTCTTGGGGAAGTTTATTAGATGCTATGCTCATACCCTCATCCCCATGAGCTTTCTTTGGCATAACTTGTTCATGTGGAAAAACAGAAAATACTGAGTTTTATCATTGGGAAATTTTTTTCCTCCATAGTCGTGAGAAACCGTCTTTTAGACAGTCATGGTGAAGAGCATTTCTGGATGAAATTAAACATTGTAAATATTTCTAGAAAACATGACTCTTCCAGACTTTCTTCTTCAGATTCCTCTTAGATGTTCAGAATCAACTACTTAAGGAGATAGCAGTCATCCAGGGCTATTAGGAATAGCAAACAGGTACTGTATGGTCCAAAACTGCTACCTCACTCAAAAAAGATTACATATGCCACAGTATAAAGTAAGAGGGAACAATGGAGATGATAGGTAAGGAAGTACAGGTTTTTGTTTTTTAAGGTTTTTTCACTATAAGGCATGTGTGTTTGGGGAGAGAGTCTCTTCTCAGGATTTTGGGCAAGCACATGCACACCCAGCATGATGTTCAGGCCACCATGTCTGGGACTCAAGCTGTGGTCTGCCATGTGGGAGCCCAGCATCTTCACTGCTACATCTGCTAGCCCCAGGAAGGAGAGCTCTTCTAGCCTATCACAAAGGTGCCTATGTAGACGCAGAAGTACACCTGAGTCTTTCCCACAGCAGGGACCCCATTTGACAGCTCCTCTATAGTAGCTGCAAGTATGTGGCAGGGAATAATCGTGACTAAGGGTTCTTTCTTCACCAAGACCAGTCCCTGTTCTCTTTCCTCTAGGCAAAAGCTCAGGAGCTCTCGTTTTCCTTCTTTTTGTTAAGTCTGTTCCCTGAGGTGCTTCTATTCTGCAAAGCTAAGAGAAAGCTGTCCCCTCACCAGCTTCCCTCTTTCCTTTTTGCATCCAAAGACAGGTTTATTATTCTCCAAGGAAAAATGGGATATAACAAAACAAGTGAAAAGTTTTTCTGAATTTGGTGCAGTAAAGGTCTGGTTTCTCTAGTGCTCAGAATAGAGGTTAAATCTCTGCTGTCAGTCTTCGGACCTCCTTTAGGAAATGGCCTCAGGTACCTTCTCTCTACATTGAGGATTTGTCTTGATACTTCTCTTCTGTCCTGGACCCTTGGAATATTTTCTTAGTTTCAGGTTTGTGTGTGTGTGTTTTAAACAAGAGAACTAAAATAAAACCAGGTATTTATTAACCATATATGTAATTTTTCATTATAGTGTCACATTATGCAGATTTGTTGCCAGTGTTGAGTCTTGTTAGGTATTTTTAATAGAAAGTAAGCAAAAATACTGTTTTACTAGGGAGAAAGTGATTAATGATTCATAAGCCTACTGGAGTATGGTACCTAGTAATATTGAACAATTAAATGATCCTTCTCTTTTTCTTTTACCGGTGAAGTCAAGAGCAGAGTCAGTGAGTGGTAGAATTATGCAAATCCCAGTCTGTCTGGTGGCCAAGGTTATGCCTTAGCCACTAGGCTATAGTAATACCATTACAGGACCTTTGGGAAGGGGGTCATCCATGTTTATAAGTAGATAATTTGAAAAATACATTTTCCAAAAGGCAGAGAACCAGGATGTTTTTAACCCATTTGTTTATTGAAGCTTTTCATGGTATCTCATAACTTACTACATTTTTATGCCAATATTAGGAAATTCTCCCAAAGACTCAATTCTCCAAGTCTCAGAGTCTAGTCTAAGGTACCAAACAGACTTCTTTGTAAGACTTTCTTAGAGAGCCATGCTCTCTAGACAAGTAACCACTAATATATATGGTACTATTGTGCATTGAAATGTGGTCTGAATAGTGCTTGAAGCATAAATTACATGCCAAATTATGAAAATTGAGTATGATAAAAAAAATGTGTAGTACTAATTTTTAAGATATTGACTACATGTTGAAACAATATAATGTTCTGGATATATTAGATGAAACATAATATTAAAGGTTGATTTTATCTGATTCATTTACTTTTTTCAAATTTTTAGGTTTTTGCCATGGGGTGCATGTGCTCTCCAGAGAGACAGACAAACAGAGAGAGAGAGAGGGAAGATGAGAAATCACCCCCCAGGAGGGATGGCCGTGCCGCAATCTTTTCTCCATTCTCCTCTCAGGATTTTGGGCACACAGACACACACACACTCAACATGTTTTTCAAGTCTCTGGGTCTAGAACTCAAACCATGGAGTCAGCCATGTGGGATTCAGTGCCTTAACAACTATGCCACCTCCGGACCGTCATTTACTTTTTTTCCTGTGATTACTAGAAAGTTTTACTTACATGTGGCTCCCATTGTATTTCTGTTGGACACTGCTGATATAGCAAGTATGAACTTAATGTACACAGCAGAATAAAATCTGAGAAGGGTTTTAACATTTCAGAATTATCACCCTGGAAACCCTGTGTAATTCATGTTCTGCTTCCTTTGTACAGAGTATTTTTCAGAATGCTTTTGAAATTCTGTGCCAGTCTTAAACTTCATTGAAACGTCAGCCTCATTTTATAGTTAACTTGAAATAATTTTATAGTCATTCAGAGTAAACCTCTGGATTTTTAAGGGGCCAACACTCTTTGGGGATATATATATATATATTTTTTTTTTTTTTTTAGAGAGATTTTTTGCCATTTTTTTGGTACGGTGATTAAAAAGTTAGATCTTGTACCAAGTGGTATCTAAAATGATCAGCTTGAGGTTTTCTTGTAATTCATCATGTTTATATCCTAACACTTGCTAGAAGTTTGTCAAGATATTTGGTCTGTGTAAAGTCAAACTTTTAAAATACCAGACCCCTGGGGCTGGGAGGCAGCGTGGTACTTAAATGCACTTGATTCCTACATGGCCAACCACGGTTTGAGTCCTGGACCTGGTGGTTTGCCTCCTCTCTCTCCCTTTCTCTCTGTCACTCTCTGTTCAAATTTAAAATAAATAAGTAAGTAAATTACAAATGGAATTAAAAAAAAAAAATCAAACCTCAGGGAAACGACCAAAAATAAGTTCCATTGGGTATGTGCATGTATGTGGGAGTGTCTAAATACCTTTTTGTTTCCCTTATTGAAAGGTAAAATATTTTAAGACTGTTTTCAGGTAGTTTAAGGTAAAAACTTGAGAAAGTCATGGAAGAGATACTCTTAGAGGAAATTTTTTAAAATGTAAACTACCAAATACTTTCACAAATACATCAATATTAAGATGCATGGATTTGGGGTTTAGCAGATGGTGTGATAGTTACATTGCTGGAATCCATGTAGTTGACAGTGGTGGGAGTCCCAGACCCAGCAGCTTAAAACTCAGTCTGGGTGCATGTGTGGGCCTGCCCATGATCCTGAGCAGAGAATAGAGGAGAAGGGATTGCGGCATGGCCATCCCCTCTGGGAGATGATTTCTTACTTTTTGTCTTTCTGTTTCCAGCAAGTACACACACCCTAGCAAAAATCTCTCTTTAAAAAAAAAAAAAAAATGCACTGGGGGCCAGCAGGTGATATGGTGGTTAAAGGCACTGGACTCCCACATTGGCAACCATGGTTCAAATCTTGGACCTGGCGGCTTGCTTTCTCACTTTCTCTCTCTCTCTCCCTCCTCTGGTCAAATTAAATAATAATAATAATAAAGTTAAATAATTCTTTATAAAATGCACAGATTTGACTGTGTACATGAAGTACTTTAATTAAGCAAAATAAATGTATATGTGTTGAAAATACAAAGTAAAAGACTGCATTGTCTACCTACCCACTTTGGCACATATTGTAGTGTACTTATCTGCAGTGCTGGAAGTCTCATGGCCGACTGTGGATTTTGGTCCTGAGATGACCTGAAACACAATGGGTGCCTGCCCAAGATCTGATTATTTAGAGGGTTAGGGAAAGGGTATAATGTGATAAGACCTTGTCAAGGATATATTTGTCTCACTCAAGGAATAAATACTTTAAAAAAATGAGTGCAAATTCTTACATGAGTTTCATTTTGAAATGAGGAAATATTTCCCAAAAGAACATAGTTTTTTTTTCCCTAAGCCACTGATATACATTTTTATTTAATGGCCAGAGAGCATGTGCACTGACCATAGAGAAAGAGGAAGCACACCCTAAGGGGGCACAGTCACTCCTTGATCCTTTCTCCATTTCTCTATCCTATAGGAATTTTTGGCACACACACACACACACACACACACACACACACACACACACACCTGGCATGAGTTTCAAGCCACCAGGTCGAAGACCAAAACTATAGCCAGCAATGTGGGGTTCCAACAATGTAACCATTACACCATCTTCTGACCCTGAAATATCTTTAACTGGACTAATATACAGTATATTCATGCTGAGGAAATTCATTTTGCATGCTGTAATCACACGCGCCCGGTGTGAGTTTAAGCCATCGGGTCTGGGACACGAACTGTGGTTGACTACGTGGGAGCCCAGCAACATAGCTATTATGCTAACTGCTGGTTCCCACACCTGGTGTACTCTTCAGGCTGGGGGTGGGACAGGATTTAAACCACAGTTGGCCATGTGGGATCTGGCTCCCTTAATCACTAGGCTTCAGGACTGGCTCCACTGATGTACTTTATTTTTTGTTCTTTAAGAATTTTTTATTTTATTTGTTATTATTATTATTATTATTTTAAATTTGACCAGAGAGAGAGAAGGTGAGAAAGCACGGCGCCAGGTCCAGAACTTGAACCGTGATTGGCTGTGTAGGATTTCAGCACTTTAACCACCTGCTGGCCCCGTCACTGATGTACTTTCATCTCCTTTTTTCCTAAAGCACAACGAAGAGTTTTGGCAGTTTAACACCTTCCAGTACTGGAGAAATCCTTTACCACCTATTGATCTGGCAGACATTGAAGATGTAAATGAAGAAGCAACACTTCAGGGCAAGAATGAAGTGGGTGAAACTGACATGGAGTCCTGACATAAGCAGCTAAAGAAATGGGACTCCCTGAATTCGAGGAGACATCTCTAAGTGAATTCCTGTATTCTTAAGGGAAAAGTTACTTTCCACACTTGCTGTGAATCATTTCCGAACCTGAAAAATGAGGAAAGATTGTTTTGAAGATAAATGTCTGCTGTTACTTTGAACCTCCCAGTAGGGACTTGGTCAAGATTTTAGTGCAGTTGTAGAAGTATTTCATATACACATTCTTTAAAAAGTTTTGTTTAGAGTCTCAATTTGAAGATACTGATCTTATAAAAAGCTATTCTGGAGGTTTTAGGAGTTGATGGGAAACACGCAAATGAGCCACGTTGACTGCACCAAAAAGTTTATTTGTGATACCTAAAATGAATATTGTTTCATAATAACTATTACTAATAAAATATTTTCAAATACATTTTATTGATTGCTCTTGGTTGAACAAATAGCTGACCTGACCATCTATGCAAAATTAAATGTGGGAGATTATTTCTGAAAGTATTGTTTTAGCTTTTTTTTTCCCCCAGAGAGATTTTTGCTATAGGGCATGTACACTTGTTGGAGAGACAGAGAAAGACAAACAGAATCTGAGAAATCACCCCCCAGGGGGATGGCCGTGACAGGATCCCTTCTTCATCATTCTCCTCTCAGGATCTTGGGCATGTACACGCGTCCGGAGTGAGTTTTAAGCCACTGGTTTGGGGACTTGAACCGCAGTTGACTACGTGGAGTCCATTGATGTAACCATTATGCCATCGGCTGGTCCTTTGAAAGTATTGTTTTAACAGAGCTTTTAAGTAAAAGGTAGTGAGAATTTCTATTTGGGCAGCATGTTTGCATAACTTCTAATATTTGATGTTTGCTACTCTACTATGAGCAATTCAAAAAATGGATAAAGAACAATGAGAAGCAAGTCAGTGCCTATCCTCCTTTCCCCCTTTTCCCAGAATAGGAAGAAAGTTATGATCAACTTCTTTGTTTTGAATTGCTTTGAGGCCGTGACTTCGTTGCTCTTTACGTTAGACCTGTAGTTCACAGCACTGACAGCACTGTAAACATCTTTGCCTGGGCACCCAGTCTGGGGACATTCTTCTTGAACTTGAAGTAGCAATTTTGTTCAGTACCAGTCTTCTTTCCCTTTATTCTTCTAATGTGCAGACAGAGTTGAGAACCATTAGAACATGGTAGTTTTTCCTGTTTAAAGGAAATAACTAATTTGAGCTGAAGCAACGTTTCTTCATTTTGCTTTTATTTTTCTCCATTGATGACTTTGTTACAACCAAATCATTGTGTTGTTATTTTATTGCTGAAGAAATAAAATGAGTAATTTGTGTTTGAGTTATGAGAGCATCAGTGGTTGAGTTAATTAACTTTTGTGCTGCACCCAGAATGTTGACTTTGTAATTTGTTTTTTTGTTGTTAATGACATTTGATCCAAGATTAAGGCAAGATAGTAACTGTCAATGAAAGAGAGGCAAGCAAGGGGGCAGGGCTTTGTGTGTACTACAGGATTTAAGTATGGGTCAACATGAATAAGAATACTCTAGAACAAAAGAGAAACTGTAGCATTTTGGTCAGGCATGTTTCTTGTACTGCCATGTCCAACCTATGTAACCTTAAATTATTCACCTCTGAATCTCAGATTTCTCACCTACTAAATGAGCAATAAAAAGTATCTACCTCAGAGACTTTTGTGTATTATCAAACAATGTTTTAAGTACTTTGCATGGGTCATCTTTAATTCTCATAACCTTAAGGTAGGTTCCAAAAAGAGTAAAACCAAAAAAAACCCTAAGAATAAATATGCTTCCTATACTAACTACTTCACCTTTTTTTACTTTTTTATTTTTTTTAAGCTAAGGTCTTTTTTGTTGTTGTTAAGTGTTATTTATTTAATTTTGTTTGTTATCATTATTCAATTTGACCAGAGAGAAAGAGAAACCGCCAGGTCCAGGATTTGAACCATTCAGCCATGTGGGAGTCCAGCACCTTAACCACCTACCAACCACCTGTGCTACCTACCAGCCCCACTGCTTCATTTTAATCAATCTCAACCATTCCATTCTGGCCCCAAGAGTTTCTTTCAGAATAAGAATTTGAAAGTTAGGTCCTTTGTCCCAAAGATGTGTATACAAAAGACTTATTGCTGGACCAGTGGATGGCATAATGATTATGTCGCTGGACTCCCATGTAGTCGATTGCAGTACAGGTCCCAGACCCAGCAGCTTAAAACTCACGCCAGGTGCATGTGTGCCCAAAATCCTGAGAGGAGAATGGAGGAGAAGGGATTGTGGCTTGGCCATTCCCCCAGTGGGAAATTTATTGCTTTCTGACTCTCTGTCTCTCCAGCAAGTGCACATGCCCTATAGCAAAAAACTCTCTTAAAAAAAAAGAAAAAGGTTTATTGCTGAGAAATCAAATAGTAAAATATTATAAATAAATGCTAAGTAAGGGAATTCTATGCACCATTTTAAATAAGAGGTAAATTATATGTATTGACTGGGAAGATCTTTAAATATTTTTAAGGTAAAAGTTTCAGAATAACAAATTCATTAAAACTAAATTATATCTATGTGTACACAAATACTGGGTTGTTGGAGAGGTTATGACACATTTTTGCATAGAAATACAGGAAAAGTACGTCATGACTTCTGACAACCCAGTATATAAAAGCTTAATTGAAGGGTCAACAGAAACATACCAAGCTATTGATAGTAGTTAGTTACTTCTGGAAAAGAGTTGTTGACAGTCTTTTCTTTTTTTAAAGGGATTTTTGTTATAGGACATGTGCACTTGCCAGAGAGACAGAGACAGACAGAAGCAAGAAACCTCCTGGGGGAATGGCCATACTGCAATCCCTTCTCCTCTGTTCTCTCAGGATCTTGGGCACGCACGCACACGGGCCCAGTGTGAGTTTAAGCCACCGGGTCCGGGACTCGCACCGCGGTCGACTATGTGGGAGTCCAGCAACATAGCCATTACGCTAACTGCTGGACCCCAGTCTTTTCTTTTTTTAAAGGGATTTTTGTTATAGGACATGTGCACTTGCCAGAGAGACAGAGACAGACAGAAGCAAGAAACCTCCTGGGGGAATGGCCATGCTCAATCCCTTTTCTTCTCTTCTTGCTGAATTTGGGACACACGCACGTGTGCCCAGTGTGAGTTTTAAGTCACTTGGCCAAAGACTCGAACCACAGTCAACTACATGGGAGTCCATCACTGAGCACTTAACTATTACGCGATCTGCTGATCTTCAAGAGTTGACATATCTGAAGGGGATAATGGGGTAGGGAATGAGTTTCTCATATTTTCTCCAAGCTCATGTGCCATTTTGAAAATATGTGGGTTGGCTCTGGCCTTGTGGTTAAGGGAATCAGATCCCACGTGGCTTACCACACAGTGTAAATCCTGGCCCTGGTGGCTTGGAAGATACACTGAGCATGTGTGCATGCTTGGAGAAATGCCAACAGGATGCAGAAATGGAGGAGGAGGGATTGCCTGTGACTGTGAGCCACAGAGAGGGTCCTCTCTCTCCCTCTGTCTCTAATGAGCGCCAATGCCCTCTAGCAGAAAACAAAAGCAAAATTAAACATACTGTGGGGCCAGCAGATGGCATAATGGTTACATTGCTGGACTCCCATGTAACTGACTGCAGTTCGAGTCCAGGACCCAGTGGCTTAAACTCATACCAGGTGCCTGTGCATGTGTGCTCAAGATCCCAAGAGAACAGAGAAAAAAGGATTGTGGCATGGCCATTCCCCCAGGGGGATGATTTCTCGCTTTCTGTCTCTGTCTTTCCGGCAAATGCCGGAATATAACTCCCTATAGCAAAAATCTCTCTTTAAAAAAAGCAAAAACAAAAACATACTGTAAAGTGCTTATAAAGTTTCCAGTCAGGGCCAGCAGATGGTGTAGTGGCTAAGGTGCTGGACTCCCACATGGCTGACCGTGGTCCAAGTCCTGAACCTGGTGGCTTGCTTTCTAACTTTCTCTCATCTCTGGTGAGCACACATGCAGTATTACAAATGTAAAAGAATAACAAATAAATACATTTTTTAAAAAAGTTTCCAGTTTGCATGACATGTTGAGGTGCTTGGAAGTTACTCTGTCCTAATAGAAAACACTGAGCACAATAAATCAATATTTTTCTTTTATTATTTGGTTGCATTCAATAACTGTATATCATTACTGCATACCAAATGAATTTTCCCATCACAAATATACTGTATATTAGTCCAAAGATATTACCATATATATATATATATATATATATATATATGTCATCAAGATAATTTTTCATTGTGTCCCTGAAATGTTTTGCATCTTTCTTTTTCCCCTTGATTCCTTCCCTCTTACCTTCCCCCATTTCCCACCCTTCTCCCAGTCTCTAGTGTGCACAGTTACTCTCCATGCCTTTATACCTTCCAATCTTTAAGTTTCTGCTATAGAGTGCAAACATTCATTATATATTGAGTGGGAAAACACAATACCTCTCTTCCATAGTTTGGCTCGCGTTGCCTAACAGTAAATCTTCCATATTTGTCTAATTTTTTATTTAATGCC